AGGAGGACGATGTCATCCCGCTTAATCTGGCTTGATCCCGCTGAATCCGAGGTCCGCTCCAGCGTAGAAGCCCCCCAGTGGGGCTTAATCCTCCTTAATCCTCCCGGCGAAGACCTCCCAGTAGCTGCCTCCTGACACTCATCGCCGATCATCAGAGGTCCGAGTTCCCAAACCGTGTCTGGGAACGTGCGGGCTCGCTGTCGGGAGCCTCTCGCCAGTGTAGCGGCAACGCATCGCCGATGGACCAGCCAGATGCCTCGGAGAGATCCGCCTCGCTCCTCCCCCCCTCCCCTCCCAGGAGGGAGGAAGGCAGTCAGAGGAGCAGGGGGGGAGGGAGGAGGAAGGGGATGGACCTGTATGAACGTTCGACTCCTGAGGCCTCCCCCCCCCAGCGGTCGGGACCCCTTCCCCGGGGCTGGCCTCTCGTCCCGAGTCTGTCTCCTGATGGTCCTATAGGGCCCGCTGAGGGCACCCGGAGGCCGAACAGGAGCAAAGCCCTCGGGGGCCGCATCCTCCACCTGCAGCTGGCCCCTCCCTGCAGCCGGCACCCCTCAGCCACGCGCAGAGTTGGGAAGGGGGGAGGGGGGAAGGTATCTTAGAAGCACCTCCTGCTTCTTCCAAGGCGCGGGCCTCGTCTACAGATGTGGGGCCGGCGCCTTCTGCGAAGCAGCCTTCTCCCGAGAAGCCTCCCCCCTCCCCCTCCCCTGCCACCCTGGTCGCGCCGCGAGAGCAAGGCCCTCCGGGGCCGCATCCTCCCCCTCCCTGCAGCCAGCCCCCCCCCCCCCCGTGCAGCCGGCAGCCCCGCCCTTTCCCCGATGGGGCCCGTCGAGCGGCGCGCCCCGCGCAGCGGCGGCGCGGCGACTACGGCGCCGCGCGCGGGCCCGCCCGTTTTGAAGCCGCGCCTGCGGCCACTGTAGCGGCCCAGCCCTGCGACCGCGGCGCCGCGGGCGACGCAGTCCCGTGGCTGCTCCTCCCAACGAAAGGGGAATAGGGACGGCACGGCGCACAGCCTCTCGGAGGCCTGCGCGGATCTCTTGGCTCGGCGCGGTGGTCCCCCCTCCTGCCCCGCGCCGAGGGGGGCGGGGGGGGGGGCGGCGCCAGTTCGGGAAGTGCGCGCGGCGCTCGGAGAGGCTGTGTGCTTCTGCAGTCTTGCGCTCCTCTGTCTCCTGCTGCTGCAGGTCGCTCCCGCTCCTGCTCCTCCCTCTCTCGCTCCTCGTGCCTCCTGCGCACCCCGCCCCTCCCCTCCCCTCGCTCTCTCCTGGTGCCCCCCCCGCCCTCCCCTCTTGCGGATCCTCCTCAGTGCTGTTGGTCCTTCTCCTGGTCTTGCTTCAGCTCCTACGGATGCTGCTGCTTCACCTCCTCATGCCCCCATTTTCATCCTCCCTCCTCCCTCCCTCCCTCCCTTCTCGACTTGTGGAGGACCCCCTCCTTGTCGCACCCCCTGATCTTTGGGTTGGGCAGGCCTAGCGTTTCGCTTGAAGCGTCATCAGGATCTCGCGCTTGCCATCTATTTTCAAGCAGCGATTCCCGCATCGAATCGTGAACACTGAACCTCGTACCAGATGTCGAACTATTGCACGTGTGGAGGATAGCACGTTGCCAGAGTTGCACTTGCTGTCAGCATTCGTTACTGTGTACTGACCTGGCGAATGGTGTTACAGCATCTGCGCGGATGGGAGGTGGAGTGTTTTTTTCAAAACGGAGGGGTCGCTCGATATTTCTTCGCGTTCGCATTTGACGCATCCAACAGTCTCACGGAACACGTGCAGGTGGTTTTCTGATTCGAGTTCTGTCCGTAAGCCCGATGTCGGAATTGTTGGAGGGACGAAGGGCAAGATAGTTTGAAAGCCACGTTTTTGCTTCGTCGCCGAGGGCGTTAATCTCTTCCTCGCTAAATGTTACGCATCGTAAATATTGTATGGATGAGGCCCCCCACAACCCTCATACACAAATTCGCAGTCACATTTTTTGTCAAATCTTCATGTGACTATTCGTTCGCGCTGTAATTCCATTCTCACCATCATTCCAATCATCCATGAACTTTTGGCTTGGCCATGGCAGGATCATGGGGTCACCATGATTCCAGTGAGCGTTCGCTCTAGTGCAAGGTGAGATAACTGTGTGCATTTACCAGGAGGGGACCTGGGGCAGGTGGACGTATAGCGGTTTCGATGATACGCTTTGGGTGAGCCATGCCCCTTCTCCTCCTCCACCACCTCCTCCTCCTCCTCCTCCTCCTCCCACCGCTGCTGCTACTCCGTCGTCGTCCTCCTCATTCTCCTCTGCTCCTGCTCTTGCTCCTTCCTCCTTCTCCTTCTCCTTCTCCTTCCTCCTTCTCCTTACCCTCCTCCCTGTGTGCCGCCTTTGGGTGACCTGAAGACGGCCCGAGATCTCGCCAAGCTGAACCCCAAACGGTCCACTACCGACCAAAGACGGCTCCTACGAGTCAAGCAGACGGCCCCAGTAGCCTCCAAGACGGTCCCAAGACCGCACCCTGGACAGCTTCAAGACTCCCCAGGACGTCCCAGCGATTTCTGAAACGGCCCGCACCAGGCTCCCAAGAGGCCCTGCACAAGGCCCCGTAGAGTCCACCATTGAACACGTGACGGTGTCAAACGGACAAAAGAAACGTTGCCTTACAGTCGAAATCGATAAAAGGCTGGGTCATTTTCCCAAGGGCACCCTTGCCTCCCCCATCCATCCTTAACCCCTTCCGATGGCCAGCCCCGCTTGAAGAAACTTCGGCACGGGCGTCCACGGGGCTTGCATCGCATCCTTATCGCGCATCCTGGCGGTCAGTATGACTGTGCCGCAGGGTCCCAGCATGTCCTCAAATGGCTTCCAGAAGGCCAACCGTCCTGCGCCGGTGCCAAGTCCCCAGACCCCCGACGTCATGCTCTTTCATTGCGTCGACCCCCAGAGGTCTGGACCCCTTCCCGGGGACCGCTCTCTCGTCCCGAGTCGTCTTTTGGCGGCCCCGAGGCCCAGCAGGGGCCTTCAGAGGCCGAAGATAGCGAAAAACCTTTCGTCGTGATTTCTTCACAGCGCGGGGGGGGTCTGCTCGCATAGGGCAACGAAAATGGCATCAACACATAAACTCTGAGGTCCACGTGGATTTCTCGGATCGGCGCTGGACCCCCCTCCCTGCCGCGCGGAGCGCGCCAGGGGCGGCGCCGGAGGCGCCGCCAGGGGGGTCCAGAGCGGATTCGAGAAATCCGCGCGGACCTCCGAGTTTTTATGTTTATGTCATTGTTCGTGCAGTCCCCTTGTGTTGTTTTTATGTTTATGTTTATGTTTATGTTTTTGTGTTTATGTCATTGTTCGTTCCCCTATCGCAGTCCGTGTGCCGTCGTTGGGCGGGCCTGGCGGCACCAGTCGTCGAGAAGCCGACCCCTCGGCGGCGGCGAGGGCGCCGGGCGTGTCGGCTCCTCGACCTGCGGGGGGCGGGCGTGGCGCCCCTCCTCCATCCTCCCTCCCCTCCTCCCCCTCCTCCTCCATCCTCCTCCTCCATCCTCCTCCTCCTCCTCCTCCTCCTCCTCCTCCTCCTCCTACCTCCTCCTCCTCCTCCTCCTCTTCCTCCTCCTCCTCCTTCTCCTTCCTCCTCCCCCTCCTCCTCCTTCTCCTCCTCCTCCTCCTCCTCCTCCTCCTCCTCCTCCTCCTCCTCCTCTCCTCCTCCTCCTCCTCCTCCTCCTCATCCTCCTCCTCCTCCTCCTCCTCCTCCTCACTTCTCCTCCTCCTCCTCCTCCTCCTCCTCCTCCTCCTCCTCCTCCCGCGGTGTGCGCGGGTCTCCCGCGCGGCTCGTGCTCTGTAGTCGGGAGCCTGCGCAGACCCCCCCACCCTGGGTGCGGCCCACCGTTTGGCGGCGAGCCGCTCCCCAGGAGGAAGGGGTGCACCGGCCGGGGCCTATGCCTTCTTCTTCTTCTTCTGCTTCTTCTTCTTCTTTTTCTTCTTCTCCTTCTCCTCCTTCTTCTCCTCCTCCTCCTGCTCCTCGCCTTCCCCGTCCTTAAAGGCCAAGAGTGGCTCCGTTCCTGCGGGACTCGAGCTCGGCCTTTGAATGCCGCTGCTCTGGCGGAGGCGGACCAAGCCCTTGTGGCTACTGGTCTGCCTCCGCCTCCCCCTCCTCCTGGAAACCCTACGGGAGATGAGGGGGCTGTTGCCACACGTGCGTTTAATGAGCGCGGTCATTCTGTTCAGAGGCGTGGCCGTGTCTAGATCTGTGCTACATGTGCTGGTTTTCTGGTGCTGCCTCATGGGGTCGAGAGCTCTGGGGGGTCCGTGTCGGGGGCCGTCCCAGGTCCCCTCGACTCGTGACAAGATCTCCGAGAATTGGCCAAAGCCGCGAGAGGCCTCCACCCGTCCACAGGCGAAGCCTTGCAGGGTGGCCCCGCACCGCTCGGCCCTGCTCTCGGCCAGCCGTCGAGGTCCCTCCGGATGGAGGAGGCCGTCTCCCCCGGCAGGGTGGAGGCTCGGATGGAGCGGGCGGGTGGGATTTCGGATGATTCTGACCAACCTCTGTTTTGGCCACGGCGTCGTCGTCGGCGTTCCGTCGTCGTCGCCGTGCTGCCTCGCTGCCGCCGCTGGCGGCTGCTCATGAACGTGAAAAGTTCTGGCAGGACACTCTGGTGCGCCCTGCTACTTTCCGCGCTCTTCCTTTCTCACTGCCTAGCCTGATGGCATTCGTTACCCTGCGGGCGCTTTCCAGTCGGTGATTTTCTCCTCCTGCTCCTCCTTCTCCTCCTCCTCTTCCTCCTCCTGCTCCTCCTCCTCCTTCTCCTCCTCTTCCTCCTCCTGCTCCTCCTCTTCCTCCTCCTCGTCCTTCTCCTCCTCCTCCTCCTCCGGGCTCGTGCGCGTGCGCGCTCCCAGGGGAAGCCGCCGATGGCCGTGGACATCGGTGCGGGCGAGGTGGTGGAAGGCGGGCCGGGGTCGGGGGTCGGGCTGGGAGTTGGGCCCGAGCACGACGATGAGGAGGAGGATGAGGAGGATGAGGATGAGGAGGATGAGGATGAGGAGGATGAGGAGGATGACGAGAGGATGATGGCGATGTTGACGACGATGATGATGGTGGTGGTCATGTTCATGGTGGTGGTGGTGATGACGACGATGATGATGATGACGATGCTGATGATGCTGATGATGAGGGTGTTGATGATGGTGGTGCTGCTGCTGATGATGATGCTGCCGCTGATGATGATTTGGGTGATGAAGGATGATGGTGATGATGGTGATGGGAGTGCTGGCCATGGGAAGGATGATGTGTGGGAGGAGAAGGATGCAGCATGATGGCGGTGGTGATGGTGAAAATGGTGGTGGAAGGCGGGCTGGGGCTGGGGGTGGGGCTAAAGTGCCTGGAGGGAGCATGCGCATGAGGAGGATGACGATGATAATGATGATGAGGATGCTGATGGGGATGAGCATGATAATGTGGATGCTGATGATTATGACGCTGGTGATGACGTTGCTGATGATGATAATATAGCACCCCGCAGTTGCGGATAAGAGTGAGGGGGCGGCGGGGGCGTCGGCAGTCTGCGAGGCTCAGGAGAAGCCCGCCGCAGGCGCAGAATTTTTCAAGCTACGCAACGAGCCCGCCGCAGGCGCCGTTTTTTTTGTTTTTCTTTTTTTGTTGGGGGTGGGGGGTAACATTAAATAAACCGTGTCGGAGGGTCGCGTGGTGGGTCGCGGGGGACTCGCGTGTGGGTGATGCTGATGATGTTGATGATGCTGATGATGCTGATGCTCATACTGGTGATGACAACGATGATGATGCTGATGGTGATGATGCTGATGATGATGATGATTATGATGATGATGGTGATGATGATGATGATGATGATGAGGACGATGATGGTGATGATGGTGATGATGATGATGATGATGATGATGATGATGATGATGATGATGATGATGATTATTTTTATTATTATTCTTATTATTTTGATGGTGAGTGTGTGTAGGAGGAGTGACGCATGATGATGGTGTTGGTGGTGATGATTTGGGTGGTGATGATGGTGATGATTACTTGTGTTATCCGAGCCCCCGATCGCAAAGCAGCAGTGCGCGCCCGCGCGAGCCCGAACGTGTCCGCGCGCGCCCGCGCGCGCCCGAGCGCGCCCGTGCGCGCTAGCGGGCGCCCGTGCGCTCCCGCTCACGCCCGCGCGTCGCGCGCGGGGAGTCTATGAGCTGTCCAGGCGCCTTCCTCGAGCCCAGGACGTGTTGCTTGGAAGCGCCCAGGAGGCGCTGCGTAGGAGCCGCCCAGGGCCTAGGCAGTGCCCACCGTCCCGGGAAGCGCTGGCCATGAGCGGCCCAGGCGCTGTCCACGATCGCAAGAAGCCCTCCCTAGGAGATGCCTGGGAGTTGCCTGGGCTTTGCGCATGGGCGTAGGAACCGCTGGACATGAGCTGCGCAAGCGCTTGCCGCTTGCGGCCCACGTATGAGAAACGAGTCGGACAATGCTTCCGGGACAAGCTGCCGGCTCCAGCAAGTTGTTGCGAGGATGCTTGCCCAGCAGCCGCGGATAGGAAGTTGGCCTAGCTTTGCCTGTTGGTTTCTTCTTTGAGAACCCTGTAGCTCGCTAAAGGAGATATCCGGGTTTGGTTATGGTGGTGGTGATTCTGGTGGTGGTCATGATGATGATGATGATGGTTGTGATGAGGACTAGGAGGAGGCAGTGATCATGTTGATTCGAATTGCAACGCTTACGGTAATCATGGTGATGATGTTGACGATTATGATGACGATGACGATGCCGATGGCAATGAAGACGATGAGGAAGATGACGAGGATGCTATTGACGTTGATGGTGATGATGGTGATGATGGGGACTGCGATGGTGATGACGATGATGATGGTGATGGTGATGGTGGTTGTGACGATGTTGACGATATGTTACTGATGGTGATGATGATGACGATGATGCTGGTGATGACCACAGTGATGCTGATGGCAACGAAGGATGGGTCAGGAGGGATGATGGTGAGGATGGTGCTGCTGTGGTAACGAAGAGGAGGGGACAGGAGGAGGAGCGGAATGGGCAGTTGCAGGAGGGCGCGCAATGATGATGATGATGATGATGATGATGATGATGATGATGATGATGATGATGATGATGACGACGGTGAAGATGGTGATGATGATGCTGATGCTGATGACGATGATGATGACGACGGTTATGTCCATGACGATGGAGATGACAATGACGAAGCTGAGGATGAAGATGACTGATGTTGCTGATGATGATAAAAGTGATGATGGTGATGATGACGATGATGATGATGATGCTGAATGTGATGATGATGTTGGTCATGGCGGTGACGATGGTGGTGATGATGTGGTGGCCGATGGTCATGTATATGATGGTGATGATGATGAGCAGGGGAAGGTGTGGGAGGGCTGAGGAGGAGGGATGGTCCAGGGTTGACGACAAGGATGATGATATGATAGTTGGGGGCAGGAGCAGCAGGAGGAATGGCGATGATGACGATGATGATGATGATGATGCTGATGATGATGATGATGATGATGATGATGATGATGCTGCTGGTGATGATGATGATGCTGGTGATGATGATGATGATGCTGATGCTGATGCTGATTCTGCTACTGATGCTGATGCTGCTTCTGCTGCTGATTCTGATTGTTAGTGTGAAGTTGACGACGGCGACACTGGCGATGCTGATGATGATGCTGATGCTGATATAGGTGATGATGATGCTGATGATTTTGCTGATGCTGATGCTGATGCTGATGCTGATTCTGATGACGACGATGCCGATGACGATGATGAGGGTGCTGCCGCTGTTGCCGATAATGATGTTGCTGACGATGATAATGATGACGATTATGTTGATGCTGCTGGTGTTTATGCAGATGATGACGACGGCGATGATGAGGGTGCTCATGGTGCCGAGGAAAATGATGGCGATGCTGATGGTGATGCTGATGATGCTGATGTTGATGATGATACTGATGATGATTATGGTGATGCTGATACTGCTGCTGATGATGATGCGTGTAAGCGATGATGATGACGTCGGCGACAGATCTGCTGCCGCTGATGATGCTAATGATGAGGATTATGGTGAATAGGATGATGATGCTAGTGATGGCAAGACTGTTGAGATTGATGATACTGTTGTATATCACGCTGATATATTGGTGATGATAAAGGGAAGAAGTTGTGCCAGGGGGAGGCGGATGGCTGAGGAGGAGGGGTGGTAACTGATGGTTGAGAAGATGATGCTATGACAGGGATGATAAGGAGGGGGCAGGCGGAGGAGGAGGAGGAGGAAGTGGAGGAGGAGGGGCAGGAACAGTAGCAGAAACATGGGAGGGGACGATGACGATGATACTGATGTTTTTGTTTATGGTGATGATTCAGGTGGTGCCGGTCATGACACTGCAAATGATGATGACGATGATGATATTGATGGTGTTGAGGCTGGCAGTGGTGATGATTCAGATGATGATGATGCTGATGATGATGATGATGCTTGTGATGATGATGGTGATGATGATGATGATGTTGCTGATGATGCTGATGATGATGATGATGATGATGATGATGGTGGTGATGCTGGTGGTTGTGGTGATCATGAGGCTGAATATGATGTTGATGGTGATCATGGTGAGGATGATAAGAGCCAGTAGTATGGAAAGGATAGCGCCAGCAGCGCCCCACCGCAGGCTTCGAAGCCGCCTGCCGTGGCCTGCGCGCGGGCCAGAAGGTCAGCGTCACCGTTCCGCCAGAGAAGGCCGTCGTCGTCGTCGTCGCCGCCGCCGCCGCCGCCGCCGTCGTCGTCGTCGTCGTCCTCCTCCTCCTCCTCCGCGTCCTCCGCGTCCGCGTCCGTATCCCCGTTCCCCCTCCCCTCCTCCTCCGGCTCCTCCTCCTCTTCCTCCTCCTCCTCATCCCTCTCGTCATCCTCCTTCTCCTCATCCTCTTCTTCCTCCTCCTCCCCCTCCTCCTCCTCCTCCTCCTCCTCCTCCTCCTGATCCTCGCTCCCGTCCTCCTCCTCTTCCTCTTGGGCCTCCACTCCACGCGGACATGGCCGGATTTTCTTTGCGAGTCCCGAGGTTGGATAGGGAGGAAGGCCCAAAGGGGGGAAGGGGGGAGACTCGGGGGATGAAGGTAAAGCCCGTTCCCGTGCCCTCATTCGACCGGCCGGCCCTCCTGCCGCGATGCTATCCGCCCTCTGCCAAGCAGACGCCCTCCGATGCCGCAGCTCTCTCGTGACAGGCCCCCGCCCCCCGGGATCTCGACCCTTTCCCCAGGACCAGTTCTTCTTCCAAGCTGTTTTTTTCGACGGCCCCGCACTCCGAGAGCGGGCTCCAGGGTTGAGTCGGGCGTGTCCCTCTACAGGAGGAGTATTCAAAAGATTTGTTGCACTACTTCTGACAATTTTCGGGTATTCCTTGAATATTTGCAACTTTCCTTCAAAATCCGCCTCTAGGGGGACATGCCCGACCTAACTCCAGTGGCCGAGAGCGCTTTTAGAAGCTGGTCGTCGCGATTTCTCTCGGCGTTGCCCCGACCTGAGGGTGACTCGTCGAGCAGCGAGGCGGCGACCGCGCACGGGGAGCTGAGGGAGGAGGAGGAGGAGGAGGAGGAGGAGGAGGAGGAGGAGGAGGAGGAGGAGAAGCAGGAGGAGGAGGAGGAGGACGAGGAGGAAGAGGAGGAGAAGGAGGAGGAGGAGAAAAAGGATGAGGAGGAGGGGGAGGAAGAGGAGGCGGACGCGAGTCCCAGGTTATTTTTGTTTGTTTTGATTCCCCCAGAGAGGGGCCGAGGGCTCAGACGCCGACCGTCTCCTCTGGTTGAGTTCTCTGCCCGCCCTCGGCTCCCCAGCTGCCGAGGCTCGCTTCTTTGGGGCCCCCCCATGGGCCCAGCAAACTAGAGGCCGTGGGCTCGAGTCGCGCGCCTCGCGGACCTCTGGGTCAGGTGAGCGCTTGCGTCCCGCCGAGGGCCGTGGTCTCGAACCGCCAGCCTGGCGAACCTGTGGGTCAGCGTAGCGCCTTGGGACAATATTGGTCGCCCAGCTTGACTCGAAGCGCGAGCTTGCCGCACCTCTTCGTCGGAGTGGAGCATTTGTCGCGGCTTGTCGCAGAAGGCCGGCGTTTTGGGTCGACGTCGCGGGAGGTGAGGAGAGCGGCGTGCAGGATGAAGTGGAAGACGAGGCGAAGGAAGGGAAGAGGGGGAGTGAGCATGAGGATGAGGAGGACGATGAGGAGACGGCGGAGACAGAAGAGATGGGGCTGAGAGGAGAGGGGGGAATTGGAGGCATGGGGGAGGATCCGTTAGCCAGCGTGGACCGCAAACAGTGTATTGCGAAGGCCTTACGGCTGGTGCCGCCGACCCTGAAGGGAGACGGCGACGACGACAACGGTGGCGGCGGCGACGACGACGACGCTGACGTGGGCCAAAGTCCTCATGTTTCTTGCGGTCTCTTCGGACGGCTCTCGGGAGCCTTTGGTGAGGAATTTTGGGGCCTCTTGGGAGTTTCTTGGGGGGCCTCTTGGGGGCCTCTCGGGAGCTTCCAGGGGCGTCCTGGGGGCTCCCTGGGGCGTCTTGGAGGCCTCTTGGGGCCTCCTGGGAGCTTCTCGGGGGCGAGGGGTCGAAATGCCCGTTCGGGTCCTCCGTCAGGGCATGCTCTTGGAGCCGTCTTGCTGGCCTTTTGGGCCGTCCTGGAGGCGTCTTGGGCTGTGTTGGGTCCTCGTGGGCTGCTCTGGGCCCTCTTGGAAGACTCTGGGCCGTCTTGGGAGCTTCTTCGGGCACTCTTGGCCCGTCCTGGCGCTTTTGGGGGACCCGGGAGCCCCCAGGGGGAGTCGTACAGTCGGGGCGCTGAAGAAGGAACCTTTTTCGTTGGGGAGGGGCTCGGCGTTCCTTGATTGTTCTGCAGTTTGCCTTCTGTTTTCCCGAGGTTTTCCATGGGAACTCTAAGCTCAACTTATCGGAGGAAGGGGCCCCGTTCCTTATTTAGGGTTCCTTAGGTCAACGCCCCGACTGTATTTGGGTGGCGATCCCCTCGGACCACCCCGGGATCCGCCCCCCGACGGGATAGGGATCAAAGGGAAGGGGCGTCGCTTCGACTCGATTGCGACATTGCTCGATGATTCGCTCGCTGACAAGCTTGAGCGGGAGGGTGCAAGGAGTGGGGACGTCGGAAACGGCGTCTGACGGAGACGACGACTCGAACAGACAAGCCTTTCACACACGCCGACAGGTTCGGTGGATGTTTAGCAATACATGTTGAACGATCTATGTGAGGCAGCCTATATAGTGCAACCTGTGTGATGCAGCACGTGTTGTGCAACCTTGTGGTGCGATATCTCTAGTGCGATAGATTCGTGGATTATGTGGTGCTACCTATGTGGTGCAACATCTGTTGTGCAATATATGTGATATGATATATTTGGTGTAACATATGCAGTACAGACTCTTTGGTGCAATCTAGGTGGTGCAATTCACTTTGACTGTCTTGAAGCTGTCCTCTCCGCTGTTCGTGCAGACATCCCACCCTCCCACCCGCAACTTGGTCGCAAGACATCTTCAGACCACGACAGTGGATACCAAATGGCATTTGGCGACGACAGCGACGCCGACGACGACAGCGACAACAACGACGACGAAAACGTCGCCGACGACGACTACGACGACACCGACGACGGCTCCGACGACTTCGACTTCGACGAAGACGATGACGACGACGACGACGACGACGACGACGACGACGACGACGGCGGCGACACCGACGACGACAATGACGACGACGACGCCGACGATGACGCCGACGCCGACGACGACGACGACGATGACGACGCCGACGACGACGACGCCGACGACGACGCCGACGACGAGGACGACGACGACGACGCGGACGGCGACGCCGACGACGACGACGACGTCACTAACGAAGACGACGACGACAAGTGAGGAGGGAGGACGACGACGGCGACAACGACAACATCGACGAGGGAGGAGGGAGGACGGCGACGACGCGAGCGACGAAGAATGAGGGAGGACGGCGACGCCGACGACGACAACGAAGAGGGAGGAGGGAAGACGACGACGACTACGACGACGACGGCGACGAAATAGGAGGGACGACGACGAGACGCCGACGACGGACGACGACGACGACGAGGGAGGAGGAGGAAGGACGACCACGGCGACAACGACGACGGAAACGACCACGATGCCAAAAAGGACGACGACGGCGAACACAAGGAAACGACGACGACGACGCGGGAGGAGGGAGGACGGCGACGACGACGACGACGCAAGAGCGCGCGCGCACGCTTTTGTTGAAAATTCGTGTTGCGAAACCTTGTGTTTTTTTTTTTGTTTAAAAAGGTTTTTTGGACACGATTTTGAAATCCTTCCGAAACCGATGGGTTTTGAAGGATGTCGGCGTACGCGCACGACGACGCGCGCGTCTGCACTTCGTTTCATTTTTCGCGCGAAGCCCGTTTGGTAGCATTTTGTGGAAGTCTGGAAAATCCCAGGTTTTCTTAAGATTTCGCAAGAGCTTGCGCGTACACTTTTTTAGCAAGTTGGTGTTGCGAAACCCTGTGCTTTTCGTATGTTTTTTGGAAACTCGATTGCGAAATCCTTCGACACCGAAGGTTTTTTTTTTTTTTTTTTTTTTTTTTTTTTTTTTTAAAAAAAAAAAAAAAAAAAAAAAAAAAAAAAAAGGATTTCGGCATGCGCGCGCGACGGCGCGCTCGTGTGTGCTTCGATGTATTTGTTGTAAGGGATTCGCGAAAAAGTGTTATATTAGAACAAAAGATGTCCCCGCGTATCGTTTTTTAAAACGGAACCTCAGGGGGGTCGATACCGGCCCCCCTGGGATAGTGTAAATTCATATTTAGGATGGATGGACATGTGGTCAGAATCATACATGATTTACATACCCGAAAAGGGGGGCCGATAACGCCGGTGGGGTGGGGGTAGAGTCTATTCTGTTTTAAGATAGGAGAATTGACTACCCTGCACCGCGCTTGACCACCTCCACTGCTCGCGCAAACATCCCACCCACCCACCCGCAACTACGTTTGCAAAACCCATGCGGCGGCGATTGCGATGTGTGCTTGGCGTTGGCTGGTGCATCTCTGCGGCCGTGCCAGCCCGCGCATGTGCGCGCAGCGGCCAGTTAGCTTGGCGCGACCGACGCGGCCGCGGTGGCGCTGACCGCTGGGCACATCCAAGCGGGCACTTCATTGCGAGTCGGCGATTTCAGCGGGCGCGGTATCATGGCAACGTCGACAACGGTAGACGCGATGATGATAGTAGCGATGCTGGTGGCGATGCTGACCGCGCCAACCTGAGCACGGGCGCGCAGCGGCCAGTTAGTTTGGCGCGACCGACGCGGCCGCGGTGGCACTGACCGTTGGGCATATCCCAGCGGGCACTTCAGTGCGAGTCGGCGATTTGAGCGGGCGCGGTATCATGGCAACGTCGACAACTGTAGACACGATGATGATAGTAGCGATGTCGGTGACGCTGTTGACAACGACGACGGGGACAATGTCGGCGCAGATGCTGATCGCGCTGGCGACGATGACGGCGTCTTCGCGTCGGCGACGAAAGTTTTGGACAGAGTTCGACATGCGCGCGCGGCCGACGCGCGAGAGTGGCCCGCATGGTTTTATTTGACACGGACCGTGCCCCCCCAGCACGCGCGCAAGGGCGTGCGAATGATGTCCGCATGCGGCGCCAGAGGCCCGCTTGGCAGAATTCCATGAACATGTAGAAACACCCACAGTTTGTCAAGATTCGCAAAGCCGCGGGCGTTTTTTTTTTGGTGAACATTGATGTTGCGAAACTGCGTGTTTCTATATGTTGTTTGGACACTCGGTTTTGACATCGCTACGAAACGGAAGGCTTCAACATATTCCGGCATGCGTGCGCGACGACGCTCGCGCGTGCACTTCGTGCCACGTTTTGCATGAGGATTCTCGCGACGGCACGCGCGCAAGGGCGTTCGAACGATTTCGACACGTGCGCACGCGAAACCCGTTTAATAGCATCTTCCTGAAAATGATGACAAACCTGTGATTGTCATGCGAATTCGCAACAACGCGCAAGTTGTTGCTGAGCATGCGTGTTGCAAAGCCATGTCGTTTTTATATGTTAAAACACATACATTGTTTTGTTTTTTTCTGCATGCGTGCGCGACGACGCGCGCGCATGCGCACTTCGTGCCTTTTTTCTCCAATGGATTCTTGAAAACGGATGATTTCCGATAAAACGATCGTGCGCGCATAGACTACCATGGACAATGGGACAAGATCGTTTGTAAATTGCAATACGAAGAGGGGTTCCGATAATTCTGGCAAGGGGGGGGGAACTTATTTTCCGTTTAAACTAGAGAAAAGTTATGGTGCTATCTACGCGGAGCAGTGGTGCAATACGGCGACGGGGCGGCAACGGCGGCAACATAGTCGCCAGACAGACGCACAGCCCCAGACGTAGGGCCGCGACGAGGCGGCGACGGAGCGGCGACGGCGGCAACATAGCCGCTAGACGGGCGAACAGCCCCAGACGTCGGGCGGCGACAGGGCGGTGAAAGCGTCGGCGATGACGGCAACATAGCCGCCAGACCGACGCACAGGCCCAGGTCCTTAGAGCACAAATATGACATCTCTAAGGGCAAGCACGTGTTGGGGAACTTTTGGGGAGGAATCCGATGGTGCTGCTGCTGACGGCGATGCTGATTCTGCTGCTACTGATGATGATGATGCGGTTGTTGATGGTCATGGTGATGCTGATGATGATTATGATGATGATGATGCTCATGCTGATGCTCATGGTGATGATAATGATGTTGATGATAATGACGCTGATACTGATGATGAGAATGATGATGATGATGATGATGATGATGATGATTCGAATGATGATATTGATGGGACTGACGATGATGACGCTGAGTATGTGCATGATGATGAAAGCGCTGATGCTGATGATAAGGATGTCGATGGTTATCCTGATTATGATGCTGATGACGCTGATGAAGCTAGTGATGCTGCCGCTGGTGATGTTGAGGATGCTGATTATACTGCTGATGATGCTGATGAAGCTGATGCTGATGATGATGTTGCTGCTCGCGATGACGATCACGACGACGCTGACGATGATTATGATGGTGATGATGACGATTCTGATGATGATGCTGATGATGATGCTGATGGTGCTGATTCGGCTGCAAGTGATGATGCTAATTATGACGATGATGCTGAATCGGATGATGATGATCATGGTGATGACGATGATGATGCTCATGATGATGATGATGATATTGATGGTGATGGTGATGGTGATGACGATCCTGATGGATATGATGATGCTGCTCATGACGATGATGATGATGATGATGCTGATGTTGTTGATGTTGATGATCATCATGGTGAAAATGATGATGCTGATGTTGATGGTGGTGGTGATGATGATGGTGATGATAATGCTGAGGATTATGCTGATGATGATGCTGATGACGATGATGATGATGATGCTGATGATGATGATGATGATGACCACGGCGATGATGATGATGATGATGATGATGATGATGATGATGATGATGCCGATGATGATGATGATGATGATGATGATGATGATGATGATGATGATGATGATGGCGATTATGATGATGATGCTAATGATGATGATGATGATGATGGTGATGATGATGATGATAATGACGATGATGGTGACGATGATGATGATGATGATGCTGGTGGTGGTGGTGGTGATGGTGATCACGATGCTGATGATTATGATGCTGCTGATGATGATGATGATGATGAGGATGAGGGGGATGATGATAATGCTGCCGACGATGAGGATCATGATGATGATTAGGATGATGGTGACGATGGTGATGGTGATGATGCTGATGACGATGATGATGATTATGATGATGTTGATGATGATGATGCTGATGATGATGATGACGATGGTGATGATGGTGGTGGTTGTGATTTTGCTGATACTGCTGTTGATGATGATGACGATTCTGATGATGATGCTGATGTTGATGCTGATGCTGGTGGTGCTGATGAGGATGATGATGATGTTGATGCTGGCCATGCTGAGGATGATGATGATGATGATGATGGTGATGGTGATGATGATGATGATGATGATGATGATGATGATGATGATGATGATGATGATGATGATGATGGTGGCGATTATGATGATGATGATGATGATGATGATGATGATGATGATGATGATGGTGGTGCTGATGATGCTGCTGATGGTGATGATGCTGATGCTGATGACGATGGATCTTACCATGCTGCGAATCATGATGACGAGTAGGAGGAGCAGGAAGAGGGGGATGATAACGAGAAAGAAGAGGATACGGAGGCGGAGGAGGGAAAGGAGGAGGAGGAGGAGGGGGATAATGACGAGAAAGAAGAATATGATATGGAGCAGGACCAGCGGATTGAGGAGGAGGAGGAGGCGGACGAGGAGGAGGAGGAGGAGGAGGAGGAGGAGGAGGAGGAGGAGGAGGACGGCAGCGTTGGTGGCTGCGACTACGACGCGAGGAGGGCAGGTGAGACGGCCGTCTTGGGGCACGCCAGGCCTACGGCAACCGCAACGAGGACTTTGTCTTCCGGGCTCCAGCCCTATGCGGCCGATCGGGCGGAGCTTGCGGGGGAACGGCGGAGGAGGAGGAGGAGCAGGAGGAGGAGGAGAACGGAGAACGGAACACGTAGGCTGAGCGGAGGACAAGCACGAGCAGAGTCAAGTGTTTGAGGACTGGCAGGATGGGGAGGAGGAGAATGGATGACGGGGATGATGAGCCCGCTCCTCCTGTCTTTCTTGTTTCTTCTTCGCACTCCTCCTCCTCTTCCTCCACTCACCTCCGCCATTTCTTCCTCCTCGCCCCTTCCTCCTCTTCCTCCTCCTCCTCCTTCCCCTCCTGGCTCAAGCCGCTCTGGTTCAAGAGAGTTGGGAGGTGGTGTCACCACCCTCCCAGGGCCACATCTGTCACGCCTGGTTCGCCCAGGCGTGGGGCTACCAGTACGCTCTTGCAACTTCCATTCCTCATTTGTAAACGCGGTCAATTTCTAAGTATTCGAAAGTTCTCTGATTTGTTTGGGGGCCAAGATCCTTTCATTTCAAATTGTTCTATCCTGGGCCTCTTCGTGGCCACTAGGGGGCCAGGAACAATTAGAAACGAACGCAATTAGAAATGATCTTGATTAGAAATGAACGACGTGCATCTTGTGTGCGATTCCTCGCTGGCCTTTGAGAACCAGCGAGGGCATCACAGAGCACGTGCTTGGTGTGCACTAAGCGCGGCTGCAGCGGCTGGGCTTGGTGTACTAGTGCTGCTCGTCACTGCGTGCAGTGTGCTGGTCTTTTCAAACCAGTTGGGCAGTGAGGTGCTGGAGGGGGTTGCGGTCGTGCGGGTGGCAAAGACCAAGGCACCTTGGACCCTCCGCCCCAGTCAGGCCACTGGAGGAACAGCTCCCGCGGCCCCAGCCGGCCCCAAGGACTACGCCGTCCGAGTGCCTCATGCATGGGAAAGGATGCCCACCTGCGAGATGACCTTATGACACCAGCGCAGACTCAAGTCACGTCCTGGAAAAAGTGGAAGCCAAACGGGGAGGAACACCAGGCCACGCTGGCAAGACTCGAGCAGGCCAACTTCCCGGTGCTCGCCACGAAGAGTCTGGTGCAGCAGGCGCAATCGCTGTCGGACCAGTTGGCCACGCAACGGGGTAAGATCATGACACAGAAGCAGGAGGTCGCCAACCTTGTCGATATTACCAGCGCGAGCGAGAAGCATGGCAATTTGGTGGCAGACATCGAAGGGGTCACGCTCGACTTGGCGAGTCAGGCAGCTGTTCGGGAACATACCTAGGGTGCCGATCTTCTCGGAACTAGTGAGGGCCTTCCTGCAGCCAGGATGTCAGAAAGAGGTAGAACCCTACCAATCATTCCGCCAAAGTCAGCGGGCTGGCCACCACGTTCGACAGACAACATTCGCAAACAGCATGAAGCAGCAGTTGCAGCATATGGAGATAGTGTGCTGCCTCCAGCCGGTGCCGACCCTGAAGCAGATTATCCCACCCCGCCTGATGCAGTCGTGTCCGCCGAGGCTGCGGCGCCTGCTGCCATTGTAACTGTGCGCGTCTCTGCGCCTTCTGGTTGTGAGCAAGAGCTCCAGGATGGAGATGGCACGGGTGCTCCCAACGGCCATGTGCTGGAAGCTGGAGCTTTGGAGGCGGTCGCGCCGAGCTTGCAATGATTTAGGGTAGCGGGGGCCCAGATGTCAAGCAGGCGAAGGCAGCAGTCGCTGCGGTATCCATGCAAGCCAAGTCGTCCGAGTAACACTTATACGCTTGCCACCGTCAGCGGGTGTCGCTGGAACGCTGTGAGGTGTTTTGCAATCTGAGCGCGCTTGCGATGTTTCAATCCTGGGTGCACAGGAGTGCGGGCTCGTACCAGGAGGCAGTATTGTTGGGTAGTACAGCGGTGCTCAGTTCAAGGGTGGCACGCTCGCATTGCTCCTGCCGCTGGCAACCCACGTAGGGGGGCTTGTCTGGGGCGTTGCCGCCCTGGTTCGGGAAGGCGTAGACCTGGGGGCCCAGCCTGTCGACGTCCCGCGTGGAGCCGATGCGCCCCTTATGTCTGGCGTTATTTTGTAAGTCACCGGGGGGGCGAAATTGTGGTTTGTGCAGCGCGTGCTTCCAAGCGGCTGCCCGCATCTCGGATGCCCGTTTGAGGCTGGTGGCCAGCGCTGGCCAGCTCCAGGATCAGCTTGCGCGCTCCATCTCGTTTGCTGGCGGTGTGAATTTTGCCCCGCCGTGGGTGCAAAAGTCAGAGTTTCTCGCCTCGGCGAGAATAGCTTTGGTCGCTCTTGCCACTCCCGCCTTCAGAATCAAGAAGATTTCATTCGCTCTGGGCCAGTTTGTCGCCCGCCGAGGGTATGCGCCCTAGCTCTTCGGCCCGCGCCCTGGCCTCCTGCCCCTGCCCCCGCGTCGCCCCGCGCCCTTGGAATCGAGCCGCGTTGAAACCGACGCCCCCGTGAAATTGAGCTCAGCAAGCGCCCCGGCCCCCCCGCCCCCGCGAGTGGGCGGCCCGCGCTTGGCCCCCGGGGCGGTTGAGCAATCTTGTTTAGGTGTTCGGGGGGCGCGCCCAGGGCCGGCGCCCGCGCGAGTTCCCGGAATGCGCCGCCAGCCTCGGGGATTTTTCTCGGGGGCCCAGGGCCCTGGCCCCGCCGCGCAACGCCAGCCCGCGGCCGCCTCGAGCCCGCGCGGGCGCTCTGGATCAGGGCGGCGCCGCCCATTTGCTCGATGCGTTGCCGGGGCAAGTCGCCGGGCTGCTTCGCCGGGGGCAGGCCGCAGAGAGCGCTGAGGAGGACGGGCCGCGGGAGGGGGCGGGTCAGAAACAGCGTGGCGGGGGGAATGGAGTGGGCGCCTCTGCGGTCGAAGAAGTCGGAAGTCCTCGGCGGCCTGCTTCAGCGCCGCGCCAGGTTGAGTTCTGCGGCGGGCCCCCGCGCGCGTTGCAGGCGGGGGCCGACAGTCTCGCCGACGTCTGGCAGATCCGCCCCGCCCTTCCCCCCCCCGGAAATCACGCTCCTGAGTTTGACGATCGGATCGCCCTGGGGCCCATTTGCCCTGCCAGACCTCGGATAGTTGCTCGGAGTTTCCCGCTCTCCATTTCTGCTACTTGGGGCGGGTTTCACTTGTGGCGCGCGGCGGTGTTCAATGGCGGGCAAGCCCGGCTCGTCTGCCAGGTCATCGGCCTGGTCGACAAGGTCGGGTTTGCGCCGTCCAGCTCCACGGGGGCGTTTGCGCGCCCGCGGTCAAGTTGATTGAAACTGTATGATGCCACATCTTACCAGCCATCAGTCAGGTCAGTTTGCGCGCCCCCTGCGCGGCGCGAAGTTTGGCCGCGTCGTGGGGGATCTGCTGCCAGACAGCGCGATGTCCACCATCGCGGCCTGTTTCTTGGGCGCCAGGCTTGCCATTTCCATTTCGGAGTTAGTGCATTCGAGCGTGAGTTTAACAGTTCGGGCGTGGGGTAGCAGTAACTGGCGCGGGCCCTTTGGGATCTGTTCAATTATTACAAGCGCGCCTTCGGGGAGTGCCTGGCTAAGAGGGCAGCGGGCTCGGAATTTCGGCGCTGCATCTTTCGCGCAATCGCGGCGCAGCGCCGCAGTGAAACATTTGCTTCTGGGAGATTGCGGGGGGTTGGGCGGCGGCGGTGGTGCGTGGGGGGCTTTGGGCGGGCGTCGCCGCTGGTTGGTTTTGGCGACCCATCTTGTGCAGGTGCATGCGTTCTCCCCGCCGCGCAAGTGGGCGGCCGCCCACTAGCTCGTCAGTCCAGCTTTTTGGTCGATGCTCTGTTGCTCCGCTGCCCCGCCCTCAGGTTGACCGCGTCGCCGACCGGCTCGACGCCGCCGCCGGGTCGCGCGTGGGCGCCGACGCTCGCGGCTTGCAATGTGAGGTTGTTGGTGAGAACAGGCGGGCGTTTGCCTCCCATTGGGCTTTGCATATTCAATTCCGAGAGGCCCCCGCGGACCTCGTTGGCCCATCCAGATAGAGTTCGGCTGCCAAGCTCGGGGATGCAGCTGGGCTGGGCGGCCCCGGAGAGAATGGGGGCGCATCGCGCGCTTCAAGAGGATAGATGAGCACGCGGGGTTCAGGGTCAGGATTCCAAAACAATGCGGGCGGGAATGCCAGAAGCCGCGCGCGACGTCGCGACTCTCGGCCGCCGCCGCGCCCAGCGCAGAGGTCACTGGCATCGATGGCTCCATCCTGGAGCAAGCTCGCTCTCAATCGCAATGCTTAGCTGCTGCCAGGCCGCGCTGCGCGTCCGCGAGCCGCTGCCTGCCCCTCCTTTTTCCCTGGGGCCCAGTTTGGCAAGTGGCCCGTGGTCTCGCGCTCCCGTGGCGCGCGCTCGTCTGGGGGGCCTCCGCCCGGCCCGGCGCGATCGCGGCTAGTTGCCAGCGGTTCCGTTTTTGGGCGGGCGCGATCCCCCCGAGAGCGCCTCAGAGCAGGGGGCCAGGCCCCCCCGTCAGCGCCGCCATCCTGTTCCCCGGAAGAATAAGTGGGAGTTTGGGGGCTCTTTGTGTTTGCGACAGCCTTGGGGCTTGAGCGCCCCCCGATAGGGCGCCGCGTGCCTTGCCCCCGCCTGCCCCCAGAAGCTCGCGGAGTTTGACTGGCGCGCCCAGCTCGCCGCGAAGGCGGTGAACAGACTGGGCCGCCCAGGTGCTGTCCCAGACGTTGCCGCCGCTCGCAGCGCGCCTGCCCCTCCCTGGCTCGTTCCGCAGCCGAAGGGGCCCCTCCTCGCACTCCCCGCCCAGAGTATTTGGAGTATGGAGAGCCGGGTCTGCCAGGCATGGCCTCGTGCATGGCCGTTAGTGCGGGCGCCGCTCAGGCGTCTTTCAGCATCGCATGCTGCGTTGCCCTAAGGCCGGGAATCCACTGGCCACTCGCATCTCGGAAGCGGGCCCCCAGTGGTTGCGAGGGCCCGTCCCCGATGTGCCCGTCTCACCTCGGGTTTCAGTTTGTCTGTATGTTCTTTGACGGCCCCGCTTCTGGTTCAGGCATCGACCGCGGGGAGTTCCGGCGTGGGCGGCTCGACTCATGGCCCCGGGGCG